TCAGTAGAAATATTGAGAATGACTTGAAAGAGAAGACTTTTTTCCAGATGATGAAGAAAATGGAACAGATTTATCAGGGGCTGGTGATCCACACTTGGGTGATACTGATGATGAGATGGACTCAGAGATTGAAGAAACTTATGAACAGCTTGGTTTGGCATCAGAGCATAAGCAAAAACAGTAAAGCTGAATTTCAGCATATCAGTTTCATAAAGCTATTTACCTTGTGGTGACTTAACAGAACACAGGAAAGCAAGAACATGTGTTACTCTCATACCAAGTCAAGGAGTTATGTTGCTAATGCATACAACTTTAATTTTGTTTAACAGTATCTCCCCAAATAACCTTTATTACCTCCCCCTGAAAAAAGAATCCTAAACAAAGATGAAATGCAGGGCATGGTCAGGAAAATGTATGAGTGGAAAGTCCTTTGTTAACACAGCATACATATCAAAGTGGTGCCTCAGTGGTGCCTTACAAAACACAGTCAGACAAAAAGCTCCTTTCAAATAGGGAGTTCTAAGTAGCTAGTGAATATTTGTAAAGACTGTAGACTGTCAAGTTTAATTTTCAAAACACATGCAATTCTGATTTTTTTCACAGCTATACAACTTCAGGATTTTTCATACCACAGAAAAGGCACAAGGTACATCAAAATGTTAAAATATCAGACTCTGTTGCCCCATGTTCATACCCCTGCCCCTCCCTTGAGTGGAACCCAATTACTCTGATCAAAGTTTCAGGAGGAAACTGTATTGAGAAAAACACAAAAACTTATTACAACCAACTAGGCCCAAGACTGCAGAGGATCTGACTTCCAGGCGACCTTGAGCCTTATTACACGCTCACTGTAATATAATAGCATGTTAATTGACACACCCACCAGCACCAGGACAGTTGACAATTGCCATGACAACAACCCAAAACTCCCACACAAGGACTGAAAAGGAGTTGCATCAGTGCCGGGTCCAACCACATCCCTGTTAAGTTACGAATACCCATCCCGCTCTTTCCAATCTCCACCCACCCAACCCTGAACAGACCCCAAGCTGTGCCCCTTCGCTTCAACCCTCCTATATATATTTTGTGTCTGCAACCGAATTGGGCTAAGAAGCTGATCTGCGAGCTGGGTTACCACTTTGCCAGTCTCTGGCCACTGAGTAAAGCTTGTGCTGCTCCTGTCTCAGCCCCTGTCTCATTATTGGCTGCACGAACCTGATCAGAGAAAGAACCTCCCCGGCTGAGGCAGGTCCTGGCCCCGACTAGGACCCAGGCACGTTTCCAGTTAACCAATTCTGTAACAAATGGGAGGGAGAAACAAGAGGGTGCCAGGCGGGAAAGGCCTTCCCGCCCAGCAGAAGGGCTGTCAAGCCCTGGGGCTGGCAGGGAAGTCACAGAGGTTCAAAGATTAGGCTGGGCAGAAGCCTGGGGTTGAGACGCAAATGCCTCTGGCACCAGGTGGCCATCACTGACATGAGACCGCGGATGCCAGGGGAAAGGACTCAAGGCCCAACAGGAGCACACAGAGACAGCCTAGCCGGCAACTGGGGGAGTCCCCCAGCCTCAGTCTGCCCTGTGGAAACTGGGGACCAGCCCATGGCACACGATTTGCCCAGACCACTGCAGGCCCATGCTCCCAGATCCCGGTTTCCCACCTTCGAGGGAAAAAACGAGAGCAGGAAACGGTGGCACCAGATTGGCCACCAACCAGGTAACAAACTACAGGCTCGGAAAAGACGTCTCCGCTACCAGTGAACCAGATTGGAATAGTGTGGTCCCTGGCTGCCTGGAAAACTCTGGGCATTGCAGTACAAGGCAGCGCTGAGGATTCTGGGTGCTATAGTCCAAGGAAGGGGGACACTGAGCATTCTGGGTATGTAGTCCCTGGATGGGCGGGCACGCCAGGGATTCTGGGTACGTACTTCCTGGATGGGTGGGCATGCCAAGGATTCTGGGTGCTGTAGTCCAAGGACGGGGGACACTGAGCATTCTGTGTATGTAGTCCCTGGATGGGAGGGCACGCCGGGGATTCTGGGTACGTATTT